CCGAGAAAGGTAATTATTTTTTAAAGGTTCACTGTTAGTTTATGAAAAATACGCGGCAAACAGGAAAACGTCCCCTCTTCTTGGAGGCGAAGCAGAAGGTCAGGTGTGTAAGTCGCCACACGTGTTACGTCTGACAACTGTATCTTTGGCCCCCAATACCTACCGCCCAAAATTATTATTTTTCACCCCGCCCCCTCCCTTCCCAAACACATGCACAGTCCATGTACCCCCTCCCCTTTTCCAAACAATCAGTCTTTAAATTCAACATGCATCCCCCCCCTCCCCCCACATACACAGAGGTGATAAACCATCTCTCACCCGCCTCTATTAATTTGTTATTCTATCTAGAATGTCTATCGGTCTATCCACCAGTTTGATCAGCTCTGAAGCAATTAATCAATTCGTCCACTTTTAGCAAGAATCATCCGGCCTATCTCGAAGAACATGTTATTATTATTATTACAAGTACCAGCTGACCAGAAAAAAAGTTTGTCCAAAGAAATTATGTGAATAACTGTCATGCTAATGGCCCAATTGACACCAACATTCACCAAAAGCTAGGACATACATCCGGATTATGGTTTTTAAGTAGTTCATAGCTAATGTGCAACGGAAAGAGGATAAAGCAGTTCACCCCTGACCCCTGTACATCATGCTTTTGCAGTCAAGATGGATCAGTAAACGAAATCTCCCAAATCGGCATGTGCTTTATTTGCTCGAGCATACGGGATAGATATCTGTAACAAACATAACGTTCCAAGCAGTAGGTCCATTTTGAAATGGGCTGCAAATTTTCAAAGGTTTTGGTCCATGGAAAATAATACATTTGAATCCTAGGGTCCCGAATAACACACTGTAGGCAACCTGTAAAAACAACGCTCTCTTAACCCTTCCAACCCCAGCCATTTTTGTGCACTCCCTAACCCCAGTCCCAGTCAATACAGCAGTATTTCAGAAAAAGAGGCCTGCTTTCTAAAAAATGATGACGTATCTTTGTAATGAGGTTTAGATAGACAATAACATATAACAATGTTTAAAGGTGAATGAAGAAATATTATGAAAATTAACGTTTAATTAGGTTTGCTAATTTCGAAAAATGCGCAAATTCAGTACCCCCGAAACAGAGAACAATATACGCTCTTGGGACGGTGAGAAGTACAAGCGCTGCTGAAAATAAACGCACATGGGGCTGGAAGGGTCAAAAAGTTTTGGGTGGTCCGTGATTCGGTGAACTCTGACCGGTACCTCGTCATTCTATCAACGTTCTGGAGAAGCTTTGGCATTATTTGTTGATGATGGAGGGACATAAAACCAGAACCTTTAGCAAGGTGGGGCTGCTCCTCATGACGTCAGAGCTGTTCAGCGGTTAATCAGCAATCCCTTTTGGTAACAGAACAGTAATTCCCACCGAGCACAACTGAACTCCAGACAATCTGGACCTTAGTCCATTGGGTTTTCACTATTTGGAGTGTTTGATTGAAGGACAAAGTGTGTTAGATTCCTTCGAAAGTATCCAAGACTTGAGAAAAACCATCATAGGGAGCATGAAGGAGACCCCCCCCCCCCAAAGCAGTGTCAACGCCTGCATTGTCAAATTCACTTAACGTGTCAGAATATGCTTGACTCGAAATTAGGGATATCTGGAAGATGTCTTGTAACTTTGTAGTGGCTGTCATAATTTATTGTCATTAGTGGCTGTCATAATTTATTGTCATTAGTGGCTGTCATAATTTATTGTCATTAATACATAATAAATCCACATGGATGTTACACTTTTCTGCAAACTTTTGTGTTCTTAATTTTATTCACAACTGTTTTATCCGCAGTCTTTTAGACGAACTTTGTTCTGGTCACCTGGTGTTGTTTTTTTAATGTTATTTTTATCATTATTACTATTTTATCTTCATCATCATCATCATCATCATCATCATGGAAGATGTGCGTTCTGGGTACTCCAATGAGCAGGAACAAAGTATCACATGTTGCTGGGACCACGCTGAGCTAACGAGATTGCGGTCGGACCATCATTGGAGCAATGTGATAAGAACTTTGTGAATGAAGAGCTCAGCCCACGCTGCCGAAGATGCAGCCATCATCATCATCATCATCATCATCATCATCATCATCATCATCATCATCATCATCATCATCATTGTTATTATTATTATTATTATTATTATTTTTATTATTATTATTATTATTATTATTATTATCATTATTATTATTATCATCAACATTATTATTTTCATTATCTCTCCTCCACAGATCATCTGTTTTAGAGGTGTCTGTCACCCAGCCTGGCACAAAGACTACAAAAGAGACATCAATGACCAACGTCCAATAAACTTCCAGTGGCAAGAAGGCCGGTCATTTCACTTCACAGTGCCCAAACCCGCGCCTGGGCTAGCTTCCCTGGAGGCTATCCGGGATGGTCAAGACATGTTCTCAGAGATTGGCCGGATGATTCTCACAAAAAGTGGACGAACTGATTTGCTTAAGAGCTGATCCAAAGTATAGACAGATTGATAGACATACTAGATAGAATAACAAATAGACGATTCATCTGACTGCTAGACCGACAGGTCGTTTGAAGACAGATTGACACTTATTTACTATGCGTACAGATAGACGATTCATGAGACGAATTGACTGATAGACATACAGATAATCGTACAAATAGACGAGTCATCCGACGGATAGACAGACAGGTTTTTTAAAGACAGAAAAATACAAATTCACGATCCAGATGACGAATAGACTGATAGGTCGCGTGAAGACAGACTGACACTCATACAAATAGAAAATTCGTCTGACGGATAGTCCAATACTGATAGATATCATTTGACGACAAGCAGACAGTCATACAAATAAACGATTCAACTGATGGATAGAATAATATATTATTTATCGTATTTTACTACATCACACATACACACACACACACACACACTCTCACACACACACACACACACACACACACACACACACACACACACACACACACACACACACACACACACACACACACACACACGCACACACACACACACATATATATATATATATATGTATATATATATACCGATTGTTATTATATGTGTGTATATATTTTTTTTTATTCATATATATATAGATATATATGTATATAATATATAACGATTATTATATGTGTGTATATATTTCTTTATACCCTCGAATAGATTTCTGGCCTAATTTTGAAAAGGTGAAAATCGCGCTACATTAATCATCCTGGTAATTAATCTAGCTTATTCAAAGACGAAACGACACGTAAGACTAATTTTTGAACAAAACGTCAATTTATACACAAACAACTCACAACAAGAAGACCACCTTCCAAAAAACGAAAAACACGATTTAAGGGAAATTGCATGTATTGCTTTAGAGAGCGTGATTTCAATAGCGAGTCTGCCCGCTTTGGCGTTTAGTTCAAAAACTAGTCTTACATAATATTACCGTTTCGTCTTTGAATAAGCTAAACTAATGTATATATACATATATATGTGTGTGTGTGTGAATGTATGTCTGTGTGTGTCTGTGTGTGTGTGTGTGTGTGTGTGTGTGTGTGTGTGTGTGTGTGTGTGTGTGTAACTGTATAATATATCATTCTAATAAATATATATAATATTTTATATATATAAATAATATATATGTGTGTATGTTATTTGTGTGTGTGTTATTTGTGTGTGTTATTTGTGTGTATGTATTATGTAATCATATATTACATAATGTTTTTTTATTTGTTTTTATGTTGTTTGTATATATTTATATATGAGACAAACAAACAGACACACACAGAGTAAATTAATTACAGGCATGTTATCATAATAAATGGAAAAGCTCACATTCGTCCAAACTGGCGTCGGTGGTCTAGTGGTTAGGCTGCCTGACTCGTAATCGTAAGATTGTGGGTCAGGGCGTTCGATGCTCAGCTTCCCTTGAGAAAGACACTTCACGCAATGTTTGTATCCACTAAACGGTCATTTCTACATTCTGAGATAAACGTTAGGCCTAAAGTCGGAGGTTCTAGCTCTTAAATAACCTTAAAATTAATAATACAAGCTGTGTTAAACCTGTACAATGTCACTCATTTTAGCTTTAGTGAGCGTTTTACGGCACTTGCAACACAATTGGGTCATAAAAGTAAGAGGATTAGAGAATAACAAACATAAAAAGAAGGAAGAGAGAAAGAGAACAAAATGTTTACATAAGAAGTAGCAACCCACCCCAGAGAACTCGCCAACCATCCACTATTTCGTTCATTTAAACAAACAAAAGATTATTTCCCAATTGAGGACATACCGATAGACGTACAAATAGTCGAGTCAATGTTTGTCCAACTGACAGATAGAGGGGTAGATGTATTGAGGAGTTAGAGACAGAAGAACAAATAGACGAGTCCATGTTTGTCCAACTGACGGATAGGGAGATAGGCATATTGAGGACATACAGCCAGACATACAAATAGACAATTCTACGCTTGTCCAACTGACGGATAGAGGGGTAGACATATTGAGGACATACAGACAGAAGTACAAATAGACGAGTCCATGTTTGTCCAACTGAGGGATAGAGAGATAGACATATTGAGGACATACAGCCAGACATACAAATAGACGATTCTATGCTTGTCCAACTGACGAATAGAGGGATAGATGTATTGAGGACATACAGACAGAGGTACGAACAGACAAGTCCATGTTTGTGGAATATGTTGAAAGATGAATAGTGAGTTTGTGAATGCGTGTGTTTTATTTACGTGTGTGTGCGTGTGTGTGCGTGTGTGTGTGTGTGTGTGTGTGTGCGTGTGTGTGCGTGTGTGTGCGTGTGCGTGTGCGTGCGTGTGCGTGTGTGTGTGTGTGTGTGTGTGTGTGTGTGTGTGTGTGTGTGTGTGTGTATGTGTGTGAAAGATAGGGAGAGAGAGGGGGGGGGACAGACAGACAGTCGAATAGGCAGAAGGACAGGCAGACAAACAGCCAGCCAGCCAGACAGACAAACAGACAGACAGACAGACAGACAGACAGACAGACAGACAGACAGACAGACAGACAGACAGACAGACAGACAGACAGACAGACAGACAGACAGAAAAATTATGTTTTGACTGTTAATGCTAAGTAGTTTACGTATAATGGGGGGGGGGGGGTCTACACATGTATGTGTGTGTTGTGATTTGGACTAGTTATATACACATTATTATGTTAAAGCATGTATCTACATTTGTATTATGTAGGTGCCAGTATACGAATGTGTGGGTAAGCTTGCGCATACCATGCCCATGCGCGTTGGTGTATGTGTGTGTGTGCGTGTGTGTGCACGAGTGTGTGTGTGTGTGTGTGTGTGCGTTCGTGCGTACGTGTGTGTGTGTGTATGTGTGTGCGTGTGTGTGCACGAGTGTGTGTGTGTGTGTGCGTACGTGTGTGTGTGTGTGTGTGTGTGTGTGTGTGTATGTGTGTGTGCGTGCGTGCGCACGCGTACGTTTATATATGTTAATAATGTGTGTGCCATACACTACACTTCTGACACTTAAGAATGCTAGTATGGGTACGTATATTATTATCGTATAATATAAGTGTTAATATCTATTACAGACAGTAACACATGAACACATTGATCTCTCCGCCCTTTGTGTTTTATACTATGAAAACATCCACCATTTCTTTATCCTAAGCTGAATACGACGTCTGCAAATACAGGGTGATCCCTTAAAAAAAACTTTACTTTACAACTTCTTTTTCGAATATATTCTTCAAAATTTGTACTAGAATGTTGTAATTTGAAACAGACATAATTCATTCAAAAGAAATTTGTTTGACATAAAATTGACAAAAAGGAAACTTATTTTCGAAAATGGAATGGCTTTTAAAAACCTCCTATAAATGCAAAATGCACCAGTTCAAAAGATTTTGTAAGGAAAGTCAGGAAATGATTGGTTTGGGGTTTGTTTGTTTTTTCCTTTCCTTTTTATTTTCAGAATCTAATCTTTCCATCCCGGTAACCTTTAAACAATATTTCTTTTCTCATACAGAGTTAAAAATATTTTTTAAATTCTGAAATTCTGAGAACCGATGGTCTGTAAGTCCTCTTTTTGACTCGACACTCTTTAACGCGTCATTGGCAATGTTCAGTGGTGGCCACACACAAGGGGCTACTCAACAATGAGTACTCAAAGCCACACACACTGTACACCTTACAGTATGGAGCTGAGCCGTTTCTAGTGACAATGGGGAGGGGCGGGTTGAGGTTGCCCAAATAGACAACATTTGTGGAGTTGATACAACTATAACCTGAAAGTTCAGTGAAAGGTAAATATGGGCTCTGCCAAGGAACCAAATGTCATAGAGGAAATGTTCACGCTTTTCAAGACGATCGAGGAGTCATGAACTCATTGCTATCCCCTGATAGCTTCACGAACAGGAAAATGGTACCTTCGTAGATGAAGATCTGCCTTGAGAATGCGAACCGTTGAGATGTTGTAAAGTCATTGCTGCTGGCATCGTCTACAGCTCATGGAGCTCATCTACTGATTTCTGCACCCTGATGACGTTTAAAGGGGTGCGAACGGTGTGTGTTTGGCCTGAAGTGGTCGTTTTGTCTGGGACTGTTTAGTTCTGATTTTCTACAGGTCCTAGCTGATGGACCATTTCCACCCTTGACATCAAAGAAGGCCTTAAGGGTACTCTAACACTATTTCCGTACCATGTGCGAAACTTATGAAATGAGTTGATGGTGAGGAAATGTTCAATATAAAAACGTCTCTGCTCTTTACTAATCTAAACCATGATCTCAGCAGGCAAAGGAAACTTAAGAAAAACTATCTGCAAACTTCTGTCGGCCTGTTAGACTACTGTAGTTTCCAATATGGCGCAATCGTTGGGATTTTTAGGGGTAGGCCTAACACGAACCAATGCGTCATGCTACAAAAATGGGGACATAGCTGAAAATGGGTTGGGGGGGGGGGTTTTACGCGCTATGTAGAGCAAAACTATTCTGTGGATTTATCTAAAATCAATTTCAGACAAATTCCTTTTGACTTCCAAATGGTGTGTACAAATTTGAAGCTCACAACTTCAATGTAGAGGAAAATATTAACCAAAAAAGTTGTACAGTTGGGTGGGGTTTTTTGTTTTTGTTTTGTTTTTGTTCGTTGTTTTTTGTTGTTGTTGGGGGGTTTTTTTTGGGGGGGGGGGTGGATCACCCTGTATTTCGATCGGCATCATCATAGACTTATACACAATTATAAATTAATATCCATGGCTGTGCATTGTGCACTATGACGCAATTCCTGTTCATCATGGAACGAACCATTTGGCTCTATTCATGGTTCCATAATGAAGGGCAAGGTCAAGGTCAAGGAGATAAAGGTTACGCACGCACCCGACTATAGACTATGAATTTATAACGAGATGTGTGTTTTGCCCTTCATTTAGGCTCCAATGATGAGCACCAGCGTAACGGGGGGGTTTTTTCTTCTTTTTTTTCTTCTTTATTTTCCTTCTTTTTAGTTTGTTTGTTTTGTTTGTTTGTTGTTGTTGTTGTTGTTGTTCTTTTTTCCTTTTTTTTTTGGGGGGGGGGGGTATAGAGAGCAAAGAACTGTGGCCACTACAGACTACAGTTACCGATCTAGGGTATAATTCAAGTCGATGATCCCAAAAGACATACAACAGGTGCGTGTCTTGAGAAAAGTCCAAGTTGTTAATTTTG